TATATATATATATATACCGGTGCATGTGTGCGCGCGTGCATGCATGCGCATGCCAGCACCGGGGTGTCTGCGGTGGCACGGGGGGCTGTACATGCAGCAGGGTGTCTGCGCTGGGACATGGTGGGGTGTGAGTTTGCTGCCGGGGTGCTCGCACGTGTGCGCGCACCGGGGTGCGTTCCTGGGTGTCCGCATGTGTGCACGCTCCCGGCTGCGGGGTTGCGTTTGTGCGTGCTCCTCAGTGGGTGCCTGCGTGTTTGCAGGTGTGCGTGCGCCTGGGTGGAGGCACCAGGGTACGTACCTGGGTGTTTGCAATTGTGCGTGCGTGAGTGTTGGCAGGCGTGCATGCCTCTGGTTGCATGCCTTGGAGATTGCATGCTCCCAGGTGCTCCGAGGGCATGCCTGGATATTTACATTTGTGCATGCTCYTGGTGCATGCGTGAGTGCTTGCAGGTGTGCATGCCTCTCATTGCAACCTTGGAGATTGCATGCTCCCAGGGCATACCTGGATATTTACATTTGTGCATGCTCCTGGTGCATGTCTGGGTGCTTGCAGGTGTCCATGCCTCTGGTTGCATGCCTCAGAGTTTGCACGCCCCCAGGTGCTCTAAGGGCATGCCCCAATGTTTGCATTTGTGCCTGCCTCTGCAGTTGCACTGGTGCATGCCTTTTCCTGTCATCTCCAGGGACTACTCATGGCTCAGCTCTCTGGCAAATTGCAGCCCAAGCCACCTTTGAGCAGTGGGACCAGGACCGTGGGGCTCCACTCCCCTGGATGTGGGTATCCTGCACCTCAGGCTACCGGGTGACATCCTGGTGCCGAGCGCCAAGTGATTTGTCAGCACCAGAAAAGCAGTGTGTGTTTACCACGAGGGGAGTGCAAAAAGGAGCATCAGTATTATAAACGCAGAGTTTTGCAGAGAAACAACTGCGAACAGCACTGCCGTATAGATGTGGTCCCAGAGGTTCAAATTGTYGTTCACCAAGCAAAAGAATGATTTCCTCTTTAAACAGCGTTGCTAAAATGGTGGTTACTTGCAAAAACAGGGTGAACCTGGTGGTCCTCTTTATATTCCCTGAARGAGCAGAGCAGGCCTGCTTTTTCTGCAATGGAAAATTATTCTTGGCTTTAAAGAAAGAAGAAAAAAAAGGCATATGACACTGGCAGTCTGCAGTTTGCCCATGGAAATAYGTTTTCAGAAGATCCCGCCAGGGCTAAAAGAAAACAAGAAGTGACATTTATAGGGAAATAACTTGTATAACTTGTACATAGGCAGTATATTTACTTACATTAAGAATAAGCCCTCCAAGCTTTTAGACACAAGGTACATCCACAGGTTCAGTAAGAAGACGTTTTCTCTGTGAACAATCACCTAACTGACTACTTGGGAGCTTCTTCCACTCTAACCTTCGATGCATCTTGCACTGACTCTCAGTAGCGAGGCGTTATGAGAGCACATCACTCCCAGAGCTCACACACTGTGTTAATCCTGCATTTTTATCCCACAGCTCCGAGGACACTCATATCCTGCAGTGAAAGCCAGCGTAAAGAGCCCATCCCTGGCCAGCCTCCTATGGCAAAGTGCACYGTGGAGGGGAGATGCAAAGTGCCGAGCAGCTCAGCTTCTCCCACATGTGAACTTCAGGTGTTTTCATAGGAGTCCAGTTGTGTGCAGAACTCACACACAAGTACCTACCTGCATTTAGGTAGGACATTGAAATATTTGGCCTAGATATATTATTTTTGACATCACCTTTAAACTTTTGTGTCAGGGAAGTGCAATGCTAGTTTTTATCTTTGCTGTACAATGAAGGAATGTGAAATGATTTTTCTCTCTTCCCTCCTGAGCAGCAGAAATAAAGTTGGCCTTGTATAGCTTCTACAACGCGTATTTGCGTGCATTTGCCTGTGCAACTGTACAGGTGGAAATAATGCAAGAAAATAAATATATCTAAAGATAGGTTGTATTATCTGCAATTCCGATCCACAAGCAGGCACCACATGAGGGCASATGCAAAGTCATGTGAAGGTCCGCACAGAAGCAGGAGGCATTGCCTTGTCCTCCCTGGGCTACCTCAGCTGGACGTGGTGTCCAGAGGCTCACACCACAACCGGATGTTTTTTCCTTATACTCTTATCCCGAGGCACCCACCATCAGTTCCTCCCGATTCCGCAGGGCCAACGGTCACGTGGCAGCGCCCGGGTGTCTGYTCTTGCTCCATGGACAGGGTTGCATTTGCAGGCCCGCGTTGGGGAGCAGGCAGGCGGCTCTGGTGGCACATCAAAGGCGGCCTCCCGCAGCGGCACCGGGAGGGAAAGCGGCCGTGGGGAGCTTTGCAGGCAGCTGGGGATGCAGAGAGCTCGGCACGGCGCGGAACGCTCTCGCGCAAGCCAGTTTCCAAGCGAAGCTGAGGAGAAACCCCTTGCGTGTGGAAGGAGACTTAGGAATGCCAACTGCCTGCCGTTTGTGCGAGAAATGTTCTGCTTTTATCACGACTGTGATTTCGACTGGCAGATTTCACTACTACTTTGCCTAGTCTAAATCTAAATGGGTCCTACTTGTACCCAGCTACTGCTGAGCTTTTCAAAAGCAGTGATAACATCACCATTGTTAAAGAAACCATAGATTTATCAAAAAAAATTACMAAAATGAAGTATCTACAAAAAGTGAGGTTTGGATAAAAAGATATTTGCCAGTCCACAATAACATGCATAATATACTTTTCAAAACATAGTCCTCCTCAGTGACTGAAGTTATTAATATGTACCAAGTTAAGCAAGTTTAAGGGCCGGAAATAGTGGGTGTTTTATTCTCTCATTGTGGATGGATGCCAGAGAACCATCAGTTTCTGATGCTGAGAGTTTCCTAAGTCCCTCTTTTGCACAGGAGAAGACCTCAGTCTTGTAATTTAATTCCTACTTTAGGCAGAAAATGTGAGTCGTTAAATCATCATTTGACTCCTAAGCTAGGACTCAGAGAGAAAAGCAGAGTAATTGTAATCCCTCTGCCTTCGTCCAATAAGGAATATGTTGTATGAGGTTTATAGTACATAAAATGCATTATGCATAAAAGCCTGTGACTGAAGAACTCAAAGCAGGGAGAAACTCTTTGAAGTATCTGTTCTATATTCTGTCAACAGTCCTTACTGCTATCAGCATTCAACCCATCACCCTGCGAGAGGCAGCAGTTCAGCCTCGGAGTCAGCCAAGTCGATTCCTCTATACATCTCCACACTAGGTGTCCGCGGGAAATCCAGGCTGGGAAGAGAGGAGCTTTGTGCGAGATTCATCGCAGAGGTTTAAGAAGCAGAGTATGGGGAGCATCAAGCCCCGGCAGAGGAAGCCTAGACATCAGAGAGTGAGGATGGGGTCAAGATATCACCTTCCAGCTCCTCAGGGGTGGTTTGATTTCCCCTACCCGCCTCTACCTCCCAGATTTAGGGACTCCCTGGGGCAGCAGGAGCACCGCGCTGTCTGGAATCCTGGAGAGGACCAGGAGTCACTGACCACTTCACACACAAGTCAACATGGGTTGATGCCATCATGGCTTCCTGGCCTTCAAGGTGATTTGAAGCCCACCTGGCCTCAGCTGATCATGGAGAGGGCAAGTCCCTTCCACCTGCTCTGCCCAGGCTTCCCAGCTCCCAAAATCAAGCTTGGTGCTCCCTCTGAGGATCTTCAGGGCAGCCTGTAGCTCCTRGCTTTCCCAGGGTGGCCTGAAGTCTTCTTGGCAGCCAGGTCTCCTTGGCAAGGGCCTGAACTGCCCAAGCACTGGGGCTTTTCATGGACAGCCTGACCCACTCCTGCAACCAAGGCTCTGGGCTGCTGAAAGGTAACTGGCCAGCCCACCTGTAACAAAACATCTCAAGCCATCCCTGGGTGCTCAAGTGGGAGCTTCCTCCTGGGCCAGGGGAAGAGGGTGAGGGGTGAGTCAAAGCCCCAGCTGATGCAAATTGGTGAGGTTCTTTATCACATATTAATTATGCCAAGCCATATAGAATTTTGTTCTCRTGGTCTTCATTTGTTTGGAATTACCAGCGTTTTTGACAGAGAATCAGAAAGATGATTTTTAATCAAGCAGTGTTTTCAGTCTGTTATAATCTATCTACAGTTGGTGGAGGACTAGTAGTTCTGCATAGCCCATACTTAGCAGTAATTGGGATAGCACCCTAGAGCTGGGGAGAGGAGGCAGGGAAGGGAGAATTTTGAGGCTATATTAATTACTGTGGTAGTCTTCTCAGAGGCAGTCCTAACCTTGGAGACTGGATTACTGCTATATGTGCTGAAGAAAAAAGCAAAGAAAATACCAGTTTGGGCAGCTAAAGGTGAAGGRTTCCTGCCAGCTAGGATTGCTGCTCAACACCCGTGTGATGCCTCCAGAGGCTCTGCATGACTGGAGAGTCACCTGTCCATGAACTGGGGAAGTGAACTCTAACATCAAGGAGATCCAAAGGACTTTCTGGGACTGAAATTTGTTGTGCAGCGCTAGTACATCGGCCAACATTTTGCTGAACCTTTTCCCTGCAGTGTCATTCACATGGAGTGACACTGTGCTTGACCTGTAGTTTTAAATTTACTGCTTGTGATGTGAATTCAGTTTTAAATAGCTCTGGATCCTTTTTAAGTCATTAAGGGTACCCACAAAGATTAACCACAAATTTGTAATTCCTTTGATTAAAACAAACTCTTGGCAGGACTAACAAAGATTTGTGCAATGGCTGTCTGGGCTGTCAAGCCCTAAGAGAGTCTTAGTGAATTGGTGCCATAGTATTCCCTGAAGGTTCGTTACTCAGTAAACAGWATGGTACATTTAAATTTAAGATCACTTTTAGAATTTACTCTCCCTGATTGTGGACAAGCTAAAGGAGGAGATGGAGCCCCTTAAAAGAGGCAATAAGCTCAGCAGGGCTAAATCATTTGTTTGGATTACCGCCGTGGTATGAAAGCTTTGGCTAGAGAGAAGCAAATTGGTTTGATCGATAGGGGGGAAAAAAAAAAGCCTTCAAAACTCAAAGGGAGGAAAATGGAATAGGCCTGAGAGAAAGTTTGCTCATGTATATCCCTGATGATGGCACCCAGACAGGCAGCAGAAACACTAGTGGGCCATATCTTGTCCTTCAGTGACAGCAAAGGCATGTGTTCTCTGATTTCTGGTATAAGCATCGAGGTTGTCAAACTGATGAGAAGGAGCTCAAGAAGGCTGAATCTTGAAGTCGAGCAGCCATTCGTCCAGCCACATGTCTGTCACACAAATGGGTCCCTCTCGTGTGGATTATTCCATCCCATTTTCCTAAGAATCATCAGTATCTCCTTGTATCTGGCATTACACATGACTGATATCGTTGTATCAACCATAAAGATGCTCCTGAGAAGTCCTCACTGGCTTGTAAAGACCTTTTAAAGCTTTCTAAGTCGTGCTCTGGTGCCAATTCCTTGGTGCCCATGGTTTCTCATTCCTCCTTGCAACCAGTGATGACAAGGGAGGACTCTGGACCTACCATATGGTGCTAGAAAAGSCTGGACTTCAGCAGTTCAAAAGGTTCAAAGGAGTTAACAAAAACAAGCATTTGTGGTGTTGATTTCAGGAGTCCCAGGGCACAAATAAGATATTAAGCCCAGGGCGAAGGGCACCACCAGCACTGCCCACTCTCCCCTCCGCATTCTCCCTCTGATGTCTCTGAGGGAAATAAAGACTTGTCATCCATTCAATCCATGGCCTGGAGAACTGACCAAGGACTTGACCGCAGCTTCTCTTATGCTCCTGCTTGACCTCCAAACCCTGCACTTAGCTGTGGTCAGCATGCAGAGGTCCATCACAGCCCAGCAGGCTACTGTAGCATCCCCTGCACCCAGGGTTCCTCCTCCTYCTTCCCCACCAAAACCCTTCCACCMTTCAATGTAAATCAAGCAACAATAAGAGGGGGGGGTCGTCAGTTAGATACAACTAGTACTGCTTACCTTACCCCACAGTTATCAGCTACCCAACAGTAATAATCTACAGGTTCTCAGGAATGGCCCAACACTGGATCGCTCCCTATAGAAAGCATCCTATGACCAATGACTATGACTCCATTATGACGCTATGGTCCCAAACTCCAATCACAATTGGGATGGAAGAGGGAAAAATGGGGTGGGAAGTGGGAAAAATGGGGTGGGAAGAATGAATCTTTATGACCTGCTGTAAATTAACACTGATAGAGACCCTCAAAGATGAGATGGCCAGGAATGACCTGTTCCAGTGCAGCTGTCAAATCTGGCTGTTGCTCTAGTGAGGTGCACCAAAGAGTGCATGCCTAGACCTTTACACAAGCCCTGCCAGGTTTTCCTCCACTTTACTCCTCCAGGGGATGAGCCCATAGAGGTAGGTGTTTCACAGCTTTGCTCCTCATCACAAGAGCAAGAACACCTATGGAGTGAAGAAGCACACTTTGAGTTTGCTCGGAAAGGCCATTGTGTTGTCAGTTGTCCCAACAACCCCTGCCCTCTCTGCTGCCAAAGGACCATGGTGACTGCTGCCAAAGGACCGTGGTTAGAAGCAGATGCACTAGAGCCCAGCCTCACAATGCCCTTTCCATCACTCTCCTGGATGGCCATGCCATCCAAAGCACTGCTCTGGTGAATTCAGAAATGACCATAACTTTGCGGCTTCCAAGTTTGTCCAAAGTATCAGGACTCTTACCCCGTGCACCCCAACACAGTCATTGCTGTAGAGGGGAGGAATACCTAAGCAAAGCAAAATAACCCACAGAACTTTCCCTTTACAGTAGAGTTCATGGCACGTGGACTCTCTGAGATTTTCATAGAATCAGAGAATCGTTATAGTTGGAAAAGACCTTCAAGATCATAAAGTCCAACTGTAAGCCCTTCAACATCATGCCTGTTAAAACATGTCCCAAAGTGCTTCATCTACATATTTCTTGAAGACTGCTAGGCACAATGACTCTGTCATTTCCTTGGGCAGTCTGTTCCAATGCTTGACTACTCTTTCTGTGTAGAAACTTTTCCTAACATCTAACTTGAACCTCTCCTGGTGTGGCTTGAAGCCGTTTCCTCTTGTCCAATTTTGTTCTTTCCCACTCTGTAGTTCCCTCTCTTTCCAGTCATCCTTGGGATGTTCTGGTTAAAAAAAAAAAAAAAAAAAAAGTCTTACAACTTACAGGCAATTGGAATCTTCACACTTCCTTATAAGACAAATTTACTTGGAGTTTGAGAGCAAGAGCTGATCCTGTGGTCTTCTTGGCAATGCCCTCACCACAGCACTCCATGTGCTTTCCTCCTCCTACCACAGCTCTGGGATGACATCCTTGTCTTCTTCATTTTTCTATGGGGATTTTGGTATGCTTATGTGAAGTCAAACCCTGCTCCTGCACATCCACCTTGGAAAGTGGGCAACAATGAGGCTTAGCCCCATCCAGGCTAGTGCTGGAAGAAAAGACTCCCTGACTTTGCCCAAATCTTTTTCCTCAAATTCTTCCTCAAATTCTTTCCAGAGCAGAGTCTCACATCACTTCTGTCTGCTCAGTGCGATCACAAGTCACCCTGTCACTGCTTGGACAGGAAAAGATTTTGTCCTGGCCATAGCTCCTGCCCAGCATTTAGGAGTGTCCATTACATCCTATGTAGGAAGAACTGCAGAGGATACAATGACAGCAAAGCTTCACTGACAAGTTCCTGAGTCAGAATGCAATTAATAATGAAAATGATAATATTAATAATGATATAATAATATTAATAGCAACAATAATTGGAAGATAAACAGCAAGGATATGCACAGTTACATGGCTCAGGGACAAATGATATAAATACAGATAGGGACAGAGCTTGTCCTGTCGTTCTTCCAGACACATATCACTGACTGAAGCCTGAGGAGAAGAGCATCAGACCAGTCTCTGTTCATCAGGGACCACATGCATCTGYTTAAACAACTTTCAGAGCATGGTGGGGTTATTTGTATGCTCAAAGTTAAGCATGCATTTACGACCTCTCCTAAGCAGAGGCCCAGAGGCAATGAGGATTTGACCCAGATCACATCGTGATTTGGTAAGGCACTAGGAAATAATCCCTGGATTCTCTTTCCTTTGCTCCAACCAGTAAATCATYGTGCCTCTTTAGGCAATCTGACTGACATAATCCTTAGGGGAAAAGCAAGAAAATAAAACAGGATTTCCATTTTATCAAGATAAAGCTGTAGCCAGAGCTGATAGCAGGTTACTTGGAAAAAAATGCTGGTCATGTACACTTAGTGATTGTTGCTTAATTTGTTTAAGCTGAAAAAGCCTATTTCTACAGTGGAATACAAATTAGGGTAATTATGTTGTGATGGAGTACTGCATGTTTAAGATGAAAGCCTTTCTTTACAAAAGCCTCTTCATCACTTGAGTAGGAGAAAATAAAATCCTGCTTAAACAAAGTGTTGTTTTCTGTTTTTTTCCATGGGAACAATTTCCCCTGTAATATTGCATGGCTTGGTTTTCTAAAAGTACTTTCTTTTTTGACAACCTCACAATTAAACCCTCCAGTAYATTTCAATATGCAAATATAAAAGGCTGAGGTAAACAGTAATATATTAGTGTTACAGAGCCTTGGCAGACTACTACTAGCTGGACTTGCAGGTTCCTGAATTTTTCACTCCTTTGCAAATGCCACAGTTGCTCCTAAGTTTTCATCTGTCTTAATACTCTCTCTACATCACCATAATGCCATGTGTAGTTATGTGTAGTAGCAGGACAAAATAAAGTGCAGGCTTTTTTTTGTAGAGCGAGGTCCTGCACCTGGGCAGGAAGAACCCCAGGCACTAGGACAGATTAGGGGTYGACCTGCTGGAGAGCAGCTCCACGGAGAGGTACCTCGGAGTCCTGGTTGACACCAAGTTAACCATGAGTSAGCAGTGTGCCCTCGTGGCCAAGAAGGCCAATGGGRTCCTGGCTGCATGAGGAGCAGTGTTGGCAGCAGGTGGAGGGAGGGGATCCTGCCCCTCTCCTCAGCTCTGGTGAGGCTGCACCTGGAGTATTGGGGGCAGTTCTGGGGTCGCCAGGACAAGAGGGATGGAGCTTCTAGAGCGGGTCCAGCAGAGAGCAGCAAAGATGATTAAGGGACTGGAGCATCTATCTTATGAGGAAAGACTAAGTGAGCTGGGCCTGGTTAGCCTGGAGAAGAGAGACTGAGATGGGATCTGATYGATATGTATAAGTACTTGAGGGGAGATTGTAGGGAGGATGGGGTCAAACTCTTTCAGTGGTGGCCAGCAATAGGACAAGGGGTAATGGGTACAAGTTGAAACACAGGAAGTTCCATGAGGAAGAGCTTCTTTCCTGTGAGGGTGCCAGAGCCCTGGCACAGGCTGCSCAGGGAGGCTGTGGAGTCTCCTTCTCTGGAGATCTTCCCAAYCCACCTGGATGCCGCCCTGTGCCCCGTGCTCTGGGTGTCCCTGCTGGAGCAGGGGGTTGSACTGGGTGATCTCTAGAGGTCCCTTCCAACCTCAACTATTAAGTGGGTCTGTGATTCTGTGTGTTATGAGAAGCAAGTATTATCTACCTCTTTTGTATTTACTAGCGCTGCTGGGTTCTCTCAAGAGTTAAAGTAAGCAGAAACATCATAAATTCCTCATATCTGTTATTCAGTGTATTGACTTTCGCACACTTGTGATTATTTATATTTTAACCTATTTTCATTCCCACTTCCTATGTGAACTACAGTTACTGTTTCACA